CTACTGACAATCTTCTGGGGCGTTGATACACTGGTTCTTCATCTTTCATGATTATCTTCATTTTAATATCACAATGCATAATTTTATTTGGGCAATAGCTTTCTATTAGATCATTTACCTCTCTTGTAACTTCTAAGTTCTCTATTGGTCCTATGTCAATTTGGTCTTCATTAACCTCGTCGGCAATACTCATTTCCATTAGAAAGTTCTCTTTTCCTTTTTTGTGTATTATTACACATCCATCCCTAATATTTATATCAGCTGATTCGAGAAGATCATTCCCAATAATAGCTTTAAAATTTGACACGTTTTTGGGTAATACATGTATTGTTAATAAAATTTCTTCATCGTTTACGATATTTTTCTGAAAATTTCCTAAAGTTTCTACCTTATTCATTCCGATTCCATTTATACAGAGTTTATTAGCAGACAAGGGTATATGCTTAAAATAGTGTTCATACACGTCATATCTGATGGCACTTATGTTACTTCCGGTGTCTAAAAGAGCATTTAAAACTACACTGTCTATTATAACCTTTACGGAGTTTTTTGGCACCGCTTCTATTATATTAATCAGACTTGTTGATGGTCCTCTTCTATCAGATGAAGAATTTTCTTGCGACCTCTGTCTTTTAGGGCATTTTGGCGCAATGTGCCCAAAATCATTGGAATGGTAGCATCGAGTACCTTTTGATTTGTTTGGACATTCACGAGATATGTGTCCTTGCTCATTACAATTATAACATTTGCCACTTTTCCCTTTCCTCGCATTGTTGTCCTCTTTCTTGCTGTACGATGTCTTTTCGGAATGTTTCTTTTCTACACACCTTCTTGATGTAAAATTCTTTGCCTTGAGCTGATCATAAATTTTAATTTTTTCTTTGAATTCTGAAAAATTCTTGGCTCCAAACAAAATTATTTTATCTGAGGAATCATCCTGAATGCCGTCTATGATGTATTGGATTATTGTCTCAGACTCAATTGAAACACGACTACCAATTTCACGCATAACTAAAGTGTATTCCTGAACAGTTTGATTATAACCCTTTTTTATTGACATCAAAAGTTTATGAACTTGTGCACTACTAACTTTTACCTCGAATTCCTCTAACAGTCTCATCTTTAATTTAAACCACGACGTAATTGCTCTTTCCGATTGGATAAATAATTTGGCTAGTCCTGTTAGTGACTTCTTAGCAAAAATCAATTTCTGAAGGTCATTCCAGCCAGTTATTTCTGCTATTTCTTCAAAGTCGCTAATCCATTTATCAATAGGATAGTCGTCTTTCCCGTTGAATTGTCTAATACTCTCTTCTACATCTCGAAAAGTTAAAGAAAATAAATCTTTGCTTAATCTGGCTTCTGGGCGGGCCGTCAAATTACGTGGACGTAACGAAACTACGCTTTCGTTGTCATCAGCACCTTCATCTTCTTCCTTATCAATTTCTTCCCTCTCTTCGTCATATTCTTCAGAATCTTGGAGCGTCAAGTCATTAAGGAAAGCACAAATTCTATCTACAAGAATATCCTGATCATCATCGTAATCTTAATTTAAAATATGGCAAATAGCAATTAAATCGCGTAAGTCCAAATTCTCTTTGACTTGAATTTTGTTGCAAATATTTTTCCTAGTTACTCTTGGCTGACCTTCATTACCAAAAATAATCAAGTGCAGTGCCTGTACAGCTCTTAATTTAGCGTTTGTTATGTTTCGTTCAATTTTCTCGAAATCTCCTAAGGTGGTCATTTTAAACTATTTTTTAAAAATAAAAATAACGTCAAATTTAATTAAAAGAATTCGAAATTCTTAAACGCGAACCGGGCAAGAATACGTTTTGTTCCCATTCCTTTACATAATCAAAAAAAAATTACATAAACAAGGTAACAAATTCAAACATGAAAGTAACATAAAATATAAATACCTAAATATCTTATACTAAGTAAAAATGTAAGCAATATCTGCAGAACTCGTTACAGTATAAAATATTACATGAAAGCAATATCTACTTATAAATAATTAATACGTGTCTAAATATATTTTCTTATTTTTCAACAAAATACCAATATTAAAAACGTTCTAAATAATCAAATTTTAACAAAACAAAATGTTAAATGCAAAAGTTAAATTAAAAATTATATCTAAACTTAAAGAAAATATTAACTTTGTCCTTTTTAAATAGTCAAATTGTTCAGTTTCCAATTAAAAGTAAAAAAAATAAGTAACCCTATACATGCATCCTACCTTAACTGTTATTTGTCCTTAAGATTCAGGTATATATCACAAACCTTCAATAAAAAAAAGTTACAAATCACTTAATCTTGATGTAGACCTTGCAATTTGTATTTTCTCTCTGGACAGTTTGTATAGCACACAATTAGTATTTTCTTTTTGGACAGTCTGTATAACACCTTCACAGTGCCTTCATACTTCAAAGTTATTACGGTCGAATCGTTGATTTGGGAAGTTCTATCTGAGTTTGTCTCTTCATAACACAATAAAATTGTTCTTCTTTCGTCTAATTTCGTTTTTCTTAAAATACAGCTGTAGTTGTTATCTTACTTCTTCTGTCTCCAATTCCGTACAACAGTTTATCAATTAGTGTTTCAAATATCATTGATATTCCGGCTGATTTGCGGTTCTATCGGCTAACAATTTGCTAAATCTTGATATTCAGGCTGACTTACTTTTCTATTCTATTGGCCAAATTGGTAAATTCTGATATATCCCGGCTGAGCCCCCAAAATGTAGGCTTTTTATCAGTTGTCTAGGGTTTGTATTTTTTTAAAAAACGAGTTCAGAAAAAAATCAGTTTAATAGTTAACAACACAATGGAAAAGTAGGTATGTGTTTAAATTTTAACCAAATCTTAACAATGGTTTGGACTTGCCCCCTCACTCTCTCGTTCTCGTCTTCTATCGTCACTCGTTGGTTTTAATTCGTCTTGGTGTAAGGTGTAATCGTCTTATTACAAATTATTCGTCTTAATCGTCTTATTACAAAAAATTCGTCTTAATCGTCTCGCGTCTTTTTTCTGTCAGCTGGCGTCTGCTGTCATCTGTCTTTTTTCCGCGTCCCCACGCTACGTGAAAGTAGTAAGGAGCAAGTCTCAACTAATTAGGGCTGGGAACACAACAATATCGATATAAAACTATCGAGCACACTACAATTCTGTTATTATATAAGAATTATCATCATGGCTGGCATTTGGCTGCGCCGATGCTTTCCCTATTGCCTCTTCATAAAACTGCCTCTGGATACGAGTAGTCTTAAATTGTTTGATAAGAACAAGACGTTGTAATTCCTGTGTTGTCAGTTTGGAAGTTTCTTCTGTTTCAAATGACTGCAAGTTCTTGTTTGTTTGCTGCTTTCACGCTTTTTGTGGCCGTTGTATAAGCAAGTCTTCCTTTTCTTTCTCGGACTGGAAAGATAAGGAAGAGTGAGACAATTCTTCGTTGTCTACATTCCTCGTAGCTGTAGAAAGTCCAATACTTTTGGCTCCTAAAATGGATTAATCTATCAAGATTCTAATTTAATGTTTTTCGAAAAACTTTTTATGTATGTATGCAAAAAAGGTCTACTTTATTGACGCAAAACTATTATAAAAACGACATTTTCAGTCAATAGAACAAAAAATGCTCTGTTTAAAAATATAAAAAAGCATATTTTTTAATTATATCCCGTTTTCTAGATGTGTGTTATTATCAACTGTGTACAGGGTGGGTCAAATTCGACGCTTTTAAATTGGAAACATCCTTTTCTATAGGAGATAGACAAAAACTAATATCGGTGTCTGGAGCTCAATTTTTGTCAAAAACATGATGGTGAAAACCGCATATCGATATCTGTTACCGTTTCGGAGTTACGGGGTGTTTTTCAAAAATATGCATTTTTAATAAATCGCTGTAACTTTTTTGCTATGGAAAATTTTGTATTTTTATGAAAACATTTCCAAAGTACCTTTTTACGTAGAATTTAATGGTTTAAGTATAATTTTTTTAAAATTTATAATTTAAGAATTATCAACAGAAAATTTGATTTTTTATATGGGACATCCTGTAAATTTTTAGTTTATTGAAAAGAATTTAAAATTACCTTTCCAAAAATATAACACACTTGCTATTTTGCTCGATTCCTCTTCGATATATAGAGTATATAAAAATTCGCCCGCTTTAAATAAGTAGGCTTTGAACGACACCGGCTATAATGCAAAAAAGTCAAGCTGTGAGCATCAATTAAAACGAAAATAATATTTGTTATGAGAGATGCAGAATTTTATAACAATTTAAAATATATTTAACCAACATCAACACATTTAAACTATATGTAATAACAATAAAAATAAATAGCAAACCAAGACATGAGATTTTGCTACATGTGAGTAGTTATCTTACCCCTATACTGTGACAGGTTCCATCGACTTCCTGAAATTTTCAGGCGTTTCAGTGACTTTCAGGAGTTCTTGTAGATTACCTGCCTGAAGGAAGTGTATTTACCTGTTACAGTATAGGTATTAATTACAAAAATGTAAAAGAAGTGAATGTCAATACCAGAGGCTGTAGAAAGGGCCTTATTTACTCCCCATGACTAAAGGACCATAATTGGGGTAGTTTAGGGGTTGGTTTGGGGTAGTGTTTTTTATGTATAGAAACATATTGATCGGTATATGTTTGGTAACCACATTATTATTAATTGATTGTTAATTGAGTATTTAATTAGAGCTTAAAGGTGTCGATAAGTGTATTTACGTCTGTAAGGTTAAAAGTTAAGATAACAGTGTTTTATTTTAGCAAGCTGTTTACAAAATAGTTGGTGTTGATGAAAATGTTTTACTTATTTAAACGTATTAAATGATATCAACCTAAATTATTGACTAACTTATCCTAATTTTAATATAAAGTATAGTAAAAATATACAGTAAAACAAGAAATAGTTGAACAAAAATATGTTTTATTGTTTTTTAAATTTTACATTTATATTTATATTATCGATTAGATATGTTTCGTCGTATAAATGCTTGTCGTATAAGTGTTTGTCGTAGATCCATTTTTTCTCTGACGACTTGTTTAACAGCTTCTGGTACCTTTGAGTTTTCTGCAAGTCTTTTTAAATCATTACATGTCATTTCCTGAGGATCATTACACACTGCCAACTAATCTTTTATATTCATACTTAAGTAAAGGTCTTCTGTTTAAGTACTCTTCTGTAATCTTTGTTTTTGCTTCAATTTCTGTAATATTTGTTTTTACCATGGTGTTTGTATACATTAATAATAATAAAAACAGATTGATGATCTTTTTACTTATATAGTAAGAAAATGGGGAGGGAGAAAGATAGAGATATGAAATTATTATTATTTCCCCGTAGAACCAAATCCATCTTCACCACGTTCTGTGTTCGAAATGGATTTTTCTTCTTCCTGTAGTAGCGGGCAGAATATTCGTTCACAGATAATTTGTGCTACTCTGTCTCCAATTTGAACATGAAAATCTTCATCTGAATGGTTGAATAAAACCACTTTAATCTCTCCTCTGTAATCTTCGTCAATAACTCCTGCTATAAAAAGAAAAAATATATGTAATTAAAATTACTTTTAATGATATAGATATAAATTTTTACCTCCCACATCAATAAAGTGGTTTACAGCCAAACCAGACCTTGGTGCTATTCTACCATAGCAATTTTTAGGTAATTCCAATTTTATACCAGTTGGAATTGTTGCTTTACCCTTCGCTGGTACAATAGTATTTAGCAGACTTTTCAAATCATACCCTGCTGCTCTTAAACTACCTTTGGTTGGTTCAAAGGCATGTGAAACAATTTTGTTATATTTTAAGATTGGAACTTGTTCTTGTTCCATTGTCTGAGTTACTTCAAAATTGAAAGGTAATTAAAAATAATAATGATAATAATAAGTGGATAAACTCATTGGTTATATCCCCATGGTAATGTATCTGTAAATATATAATTAACAATTCTTTTATCATCATGTGGTGTCAGGGCAATTTTTTTTTGGTTTATTGTATATACTTCATGTTTTTTACTACGAATTAGTTGTTCATTAGTGTAAATTTCAGTTTTATTAAATAAACAGTTATAATAATCATCAAAAGTGATTGTTTTTAGAGAAGTATTAGTTATACCTTTAGCTTTTTTAGTGACACCTAAATCTTGTAACTTTTTTTGTTACTAACTAATATAATACTATAATATATAATACTAGTATAATTACTAATTTTTTTGTTCAGTTGTTAATTTTTCCTTTTCGGCATGCGAATAGAAGAGTTTTAAAGCATACATTTTTGATTTCAATCCAACAAATTCACTTAAGATTCTTCCAGAGCATTCGTCTTTCATTTTTCCTAATACCTTTTTATTTACCAGTGGAATATTATAAATGTTTTCTGATGGATAATCAGACGTATCAAATCTATCAATATCATTTTTAATGTGTTTATATATATCTTCAACTTGAAAATGATAAATTAATGAATCGGTATCTGTATACAAGAGTTTTGCATTTGTATTAAAAGTTGGTTTAATGTAATTGTAATGAAAATCATATAAAATAGTTTTAGAAATGTCTAAAATGCTAAAACCAATATGTATGGGTTTATTAAATTTTATATTAAGTCGTTTCATTTCAATAATAACCATATTTTCATCAAAAATAGTCAAACTGTGAAAATTTGGTTTAGATATATAATTTTTTGCTCCATATCTTCCTAACCAAGTAGTTACTAATTTAATGTCTTTATATTTTCGTACGTTTTCCATGGTTTTTCCGAAAACAGCATTATTCATTAGCTTAAAGAAGTTCTTTTCAAAATCATTTTTACTTTGTTGACGTAAGTTGCTATTTAAATCAATATATCTTTTTAACCATGGAAATTGTTTAAATTTTAAAATTTTATGAATTTTTATAACTGAATAACATAATTTTTTTTATCAAATAGAGTTGTTAATAATTTTTGTTGTTTTGAGGATGATATGAGTGGTCTTAGATGTTCCGGACATAATGGTAAATCTTTATGTAAATTATGAATTTCTTTTGGATATTCTAAATCTATTTCAAGAATATATCCTATATTTGAATTGGCTGGTGTATTAATAATATTTTCCGAGTAATATGCAGAATTTTCAATCCATCTAAATTCACCTATAGGTAATGATTTGCACATTGCAGTTCCATATAAATTATTAATATCAAAATGCATTAAATATGATGTTGAGTTTGTAGGATCATATTCATTCGCCATGTACTTATTATTAGCTTTCCCATATCGATTACTACATTGTGAAATTCCACCCCTTATCCCCTTTTCAATCATCATTATTTGATCTATATCTGTTATTAATTCTAATTCAATTTGTGAAATATAAAGACAAGCTGAATAAGCTAATCCTGGAGAGGTGAAATACTTTAAACAATCTAAATTATGTTTTATAACATATTTGTCTGAAATTTTCAAAAACGTCAGTCAATAATAAAACATCAGTTTTTAGATACAATTCCATGTATTCACGCAAGTTTTTAATTTTAAACGTATTCCAAACATTGATAGCATGATTATAATCTTCTTGTGTTACCCCACATTTTTTTAATTTATTATAGAAATTATCTCTTGAAGGTAATTGAAGGTTTTCCAATATTTCCCAACTGTTTAGGTAATCATATGGAAATATACCTTTTCTAGATAATAAATTAAATTCCTCATTAGTTTTACAGAAACTTCTTGTTATAGTTTTTTCTGTAGAATCTAGGTAAGAACTTAATTTATCTAAACTACTTGGCATGAATCTAAACGAATCTAAAAACCTAAATTGAATGCTTGTGTTTTCTATGTATTTTGTAAATGATATATATTTTTCCTTATTGATTGGTAAAAGTGTTATTAAAGCACCAATTTCAGTGGACAATTTCTTTATGATAAAATGACTATCATAACCAGATAGATTGTGAAATAAAACAGGTATCATATGATCGTCTACATAGTTAAGGTTACATAAAGAATGAGCACTTCCTCTGTATTTACCGGTAAAGTGGCAATGATCTTTAACTTTTAAATCATTTTCAGTAAATGGTTTAGAACAAATGTGACAAGTTGTTGAGTTATGAAATAATGCTTGTTCTGAAATTGTTAATGGAATCTTTGGAACTATTTTATTAAAAATTGGATGTAGTTGTAAAGCTATTTTTTTGAATTCCTGACAGAACCAACTAATACAATTTTTTCCAGTATAAATATTAAATTTGGAAATGGAATTATCAAAATTACACAAGAGATAATACGCAATGCTACATGGTATATGTTTTTGATATTTCTGTATATTACCCACAGTGGAGTCATTAATATTTTCTAATAAACTTTCAATATCTGCATAAATTACAAAAGGAACTTTTTCTTTATTTTTAAACTGATCAAATTTAATATATTTTTCTTTTAAAGTTGGTAGAGTAATTTTAGTTTTATTAATATTTTTACATGACCACATATGTTTAGTTAAAACCTCTCGAGAATAAAAATGATTTAGACAACGATCACAATAAAATTTTGAAGTACTTACATCACCAGTTTGTTGATTTAATAATCTTGATAGATTTTTAATTAATGCAAAATGAAAAATTTGTTTAAAGGAGATAATATTATTAGTAAAATGATTTTCATCACTATCACTATCACTATCATTATTATTATTTACCGATTTTTTGCACTTTCTCAGCCGTAGCTGGAAAACTGTTACCTACCCCTTATCTGTCTCTAGTGTATGGGGTTAGGCTCGGACGTATCGAAGGAGAACTTCATCTCATCTCTCTCCGCCCAAAAACTTTCTCACTATATGGCATGTTTTCAATAGTACTGCTTTCTGCATAGTTGTTATGACTGCATCATGTGTTGTTATGACTGTATCATCTGTTGTTATGACTGCATCATCTGTCTCTGCAGTTTACTTAGGTTGTTTTGAAGGCTCTTTGGAATTATGCCTGTTGCCGAGATGATTATAGGAATAATGCTAACTTCTTTTAATTTCCATACATGTTTTATCTCAATTGCTAGATTCTCATATTTTCTAACTTTTTCAGACTCGGTCTTCTGCAGGTTGTAGCTATTCGGGCAAGCAACATCAATTATCTTTGCTGTTTGGTATCTTTATTTATCAGCACAATGTCGGGCCTATTATAGTCTACTGTTCTTCTGTCGGTGAGAATTGGTCTGTCCCAGTATAGAACATATTCTGAAGATTCAAGGACTGGTTCAGGGTCATATTTGAAATATGGTGGAAGATTCTTCTTAAGTTTAAGGTTGTTGGCCATCTTTGAGTGAATAATTTTGCTACTTGGTTGTGTCTGCCTAAATATGCATTAGCAGAGAGCGCCGAGCAACCTGTTGTTATATGAGCAATTGTTTCTCCTGGTTTATGGCATTTTCTACACACATCCTCAACTCCATTCTTCAGAATATTTCTCTCTGTAGTTTCTAGTTCTTATGGACCTCGTCTTGTATTGCTACAATAAAACCCTCGGTCTCTGGATAAAGAAACCCTCTTCTTAGCCATTCCAGAGACCGCTCTTTGTCCACATTCTGCTGCTCTAGGGATGCAGGATATCTTCCATGGAGAACTTTTTTCCCGCCACTGTCTGTTCCTTAGTTCTATTAGTTGTTGGTTTCAAACTGGTCTCGGCAGTCCTTAAGGTTTAACGCAGAGTAATTGCTATCTGCATCCACTATCATCTGGGTAAGCGGGCTGTTGTTTTGTTGGAAATATGTTCTCATTTTGTGCTCTTGATTTTACACAACTCATACAAATTCAGAAGCCCTTCCATCTTCTATTCTCTTAAGATACATTCTTTCCACAGCAGACTTAGGGTGGTGCATCTCTAAATTTAGTCATTAGTACCCGCGTGAGTCGATCTAGATCACGCAAATCTGTATCAGAATACTTAAGTACGCCAAACGAATATATCAGTACAGGTACAGCCCATGCATTTATTGCTTTTATTAAGTTTCCAGATGATAAATTTGTATTTTAGAGTTTTGTAAGTCTTTTTTTGTACTTTTCTTTAAACTCCCTTTTTAGCTTTGTGTGGTCGATGGACCGGTGTTGTGCCATACCTAAATACTTGTACGTCTGATTTAGCGGTAGTGGATCTATATGTTCATTGACGTTTTCTAATTTAATACATCCTTTGCTAATAGTTACGGTGGCACATTTATTTAAACCAAAAGACATACTTATATCGTCGCTGAATGCTTTTGTTGTTTTGAGTAGCGTTTGTAGTTGCGTTTTACTACGTCATTTACGTCATTATTATTATTATTAAATATTTTATTTGTAGAGAGCATTAATAAATTAACTTTCATCAAATAATTAAACGTACTTAAACATACTGGTAAAACTGTTTTCTTTTCTACAGTAAAAACGTTAATAGAAATATTATTCATTGCTTCAAATTTTTTTATATCCTTTAGTTTTATTGGAAAATTAATATTATCATATTTTAAAACCTCACTAAAATGAGGATAAGAAGATGTTCTTCTTGGATTTTGATTAGAGCTACAAGGATACAATGCTGCTACTATAGACCAGAGAAAACAATAATTATCTTTATTTTCAATATTAAGAACACCTTTAGTATTTTGAATAAATTTTGGTATCGATACATATGTTGAATTGCTTACATTTATTGGTGTATAGTTATTAAAATTAATTTTTAATTGTAATATTTGATAAAGAGCCCATCCAGAATCTCGTTCTTGAAACTCTTCCAGTTTTTTCAATAAATTATTTTTAATATGATCATCATAAAAATCTTTTAAATTTGTATTGCGATCTACTACTCGATTTTTTGTAGAAAAATGTTTAATTTCAGTTTCCCCAGTTTGAGGTTTAATAAAATTTCCTAAAAAGATGACATTTATTTTTAATAATTATTTCTGAACTTCCTTTTTAACTTTACACAAAAAAGATCTATAAGCTTTTTTAAGAAATATGACTGGGTCTTTAATACTAAAATTAATTATTGCTCCTGTTCTAATGCGATTTTTGAAGCAAGAATCAAGTTCAATCCAACATAATTCTTTTTTTTGTTTAATTTTTTTTTATATTTAAATTGTTCTCTGAGATTCTTAAGTAAACTCAAATTAGATT